CTTGGCAATCATTGTTGTTTTGAGCATGTGGCTTTAGTGAAGCCTTTATGCAAAATGCAATGGCAAGCAGCCATGTGCCAATCTTTAGGAGAGAGACTCTAGGCAATGAGCTATTTTTAGTTTTTGGTAGCCACCTTTTGCTCTTTAAAAGCAATTTTAACCTACTTAGAGTTTAATTACTATATCATTTTCTTATTTTTTTTATTGTTTTAATAGTAGAGAAACCAAACAAACTTGTGAAAGCAAATATAAATGAAAAGTGTAACTGGAAAAAGCTTGAGTTTTGTGACGCACCTTCCCTTAAATCAATTTATGTAGTGTTCAGCAGCTGCTGTTAAAATATTTCTGCTTTGTTCCAAGCAATTAATAGCTTTTACTTCCGCTCCTATTTGAGTCCGGTTCAGGCACATTTTTGTGGCATGTTTGGATTCTGGTTCAGTTTTGGTCAAAATTCTGTTTGAAGTATAGTTTCTGGTTCATAGTCGGTTCAATTTAGTAGCCTGCACAATATCCGAGAATTGGTGATAGGTTATAAATGACACTTTTCGACTGGTCAAGTACTGAGAAGAATGATCGGCAGCGCAGACAAGTTTATTCCTGCCTGCAACAAGGCGGGATAGAAGTGCATCCCTGTGGTCGAATAAAATTTGATGATTCGTGCACTTAGCTCCTCAAAATGCTCAGTGCATCCTACCCAAGTCAGGGAACATCCAGGCAGCTCTCCCATCATAGTCCATAACAAATCTCCGAACGCTTTGTTGCCACTGGTTGTTTTTTCAATCACATGTTCAACGCCGCTGAGCATTGATGTCAAAGCACTTGATGGATGCTGCAGTGCACCAGGCACAAAGGATCGAATCTCTGTTGAAGCTGCTGCTGCTGCTGGTACAGGTTATTAGATATACAAGTTGCGAGGCAATCTTCGCAACTGGTGAATTTGTGTGCCTTCTTCACGACATAACTGCCAAGGTAGTACAGCGCACTTGCTTTCGCAGTCGTGCGGCAGTAACTGTGCTGAAGTGTATCAGTAGTCATTGACTCCTGCAATTTTGAGATAATCTTGCTCAGCTCTTTCTCCCGGGCTTCTTAATTCGAAAAAGTGATGACCTTCTCGTTGCTGGGGTTTTCGTGCGCTTCCACGAGGACCGGGTCTGCTTCACCTGAGCAGTTTCCTTTCGTTGCCATTTTTAGTGACATGTACAGGCTGAGAAGCCTGAATATCTGTCCGAAGTGTGTTATGGTTGAATGATCTTCATTTCCACTAAAGCTTCTGACTGCTCCAAAGAAACACTATAGCAATAGGCAAAGAAAGGGAACCTTTTTAGCATGTTGGGCAGAAAAAGCAAAACTTGGGCAAATGAGGGTTCACAAAGCAGTGCCAAAATATTCTGCGCACAACCAACGACCCAGGTGACAAAATTTCTGTGAAACTAACTCTTTAAGCTTGTTAATAAAAAATAAACACAAACCTACAAGGCATGTTAGTTGAGCTTTACAGTGAGCATATATGGTACATCCTTGCTGTGCAGGAAGGATATTATGCGCAGGACTGACATCAGTCACTCTAAGAGACTCCATAGTCATTTGGGAAGCATTTTGGTGTTGTCGAACCTGCTGGTTCTTTAGGTGGCGTTCAGCAATTAAAGGAAATCCGGGATTACCTGTATGAAAGTGTTTGTTATGAAGAGTTCTTTCACAAGGTACACTTATATGTGACAATCAAACTGCAACCTGCAACCACAGGGCACGCCTGAAATAATTTGGCTGAGCCGACTGCAAGTGGGCAGTGGAAGCAGTTTTATGTTTCTGAGAATGTTCTATTTTTGAGAGCTGGCCACTCTCAAAAGCAGGCAATATTATCCATGCATGTGTGTATCTCACTCCTTTAGGGCCTTTTGCATGGACCTGTTTCAGAGATGCTTTAATTGCCAGCTGCTGTCTAGGTGGCAGTGTGCTCAGTGCCTTGCTAATTGAGATTTCTGATTCGTTAATTCATTCTTCAGCATCTTTATGTCCCTCATGAAGACACGTCCCTCATGAAGACACCCTCTTTGCTGAGACTCTGAGGACTTTTTTCGCAAATGTTGAGTCTGGTGGCCTCTCTCACAATTGTCTTGTCATGGATGCGCCATGCTACACATGTTGTTTGAGAGGACAGCACTTTGCACTTTGGTTAAATACACTTCTTGCACTGTATGTGGCATTCTTTATTAAGAGAGCGATCAAGTCTTCGATAGCATGGATGGGAATATTTGTGTAAGTAGTTGCTGCACTATCGTATGCACTTTCTGTGGCTGAACTTTCGCTCGTGACCACTGCGCTCTTTTCGATTTGCAAGGTTTCCGCTTCATGCTTTACCGTGAAAAATGCGACGAATTTGCCCTCACTGCTGTCACCATGTTTATAAGCCCTCGTCATCACGTGCCAGCCGGGGGGGCAATTCTACTCATGTTATATTAGCTATCGTTAATACCTTTGCATCTTGAACCGGCAACTCTTCCAGTTGCTCAAGGTTATAGCATTGCGCACCTTGATGCTGCCCTGAAGCTTGATTGGCGAGTTTCTTTGCGCTTTTACACATCGACTTGCGTTCTTTCTCCGGTGGCTTCAATAAGTAAGCGGGCAGGTTTGAAAACACCTTGGGCATGGCGCTTTTCGTGAGACTCCATATGCCTCTTGGGATCTCGACAGATTTCTTGTCGATGACATGAACGTATGTTTTCAATATGTCCTGTTTAAAGTGAAGGTCGCACACTCTTGACGTTGCTGTTAATTCCTTGTCCGCACGTGGAACTGCTTTGTTCTTCGCTGAGTGAAGGCTCAGGTCAAACGGAGCGTAAAAAAAATGTCGGTCCGAGCTGCTAGCATTCTTGGGGTATCCACTCGCGCACCCCGGCACGCAACAAGCTGGCATGGTTACCCGAACAGACAACACATGATGTGAACAGACCACAAAATCTGCAAGAGGCCGATAGGACTGCGGCGACACTGCCAGAGAACGCGAATGCTTGTTATTCTAGGGACCATAGTTAGTGCAACGTTGGCGGCTGCCGATGCGCCGTATTTTCGAAGCTGGATGCGACTGCAGCGCCACAACCTAGCACGTGTGGTGGCGGTTCCGCGCAATACAAACAAGTTTAAAAACTGAAAGTATTCTAGTAACGTTGAGTGAAAGCATGCTGGCTGCGGACTGCTTCATTCTCCTTGTCATAAAAGATTTCACTGGTGAAACAGCAGAAATAGTTGCGCTGTGCACGCAAAGATCGAGCCTCTTCAGCGAACGGCATCATATTTACTTCAAGTTGAAGAACCTGTCTAGCAAGCCCAAGGTTGCAGATGGCAACTGCTCATGTGTACGGGTCTCTCTGTAAGATGCTAGCACGTTTGCGCTGCATTGCTACTCTGCTACAGGCAAGGCCTTATCATTTTTTCGAGATAACTGTGCTGCGACTCATGCTGCTGATTGCATGTATCGCAGGGAGTTTCGTTGTGCCATCAAAAGGTCAATAAGCAAGCCGTTCACTTGATTGCATACTATGCCTGGGCCAGTGTATCTTGAGTTAAGGCAAATCGTAGTTTTGACTGTAATACGATCCATGTTATTAGGTTTCTAATAAGGTCATGTGCTTTTGAACACTCGCTTGTTCTTGTTGGCAGCAGATAATTTTCAAAGCAGGTATATGCCGGCACATTACGCATGCTACCAATGCACGGACATGCTGTGTATATGCACAAACAAATACACACGCATGCATGACCTTTGTACGTGCGTTTGTGTGCGCGTATATAAACAGATGCGAAATCAAAAATCTTTAGGGGGAAGGGTTTCAGCAGCTTAGTTTGAGGATGGGTAGCACTATGACTTGCAGCATATAAAACAAGCATATGGGAAAAAGTCACCTACATAACGCCCAACAAATTTTCTGAAGTGTTGCTTATATAAGCAAAACTATACTGCACGGTTAGAGAAGGCTGAATATCGATAAGAATGTACACAAGCTAAGTAATGGTGTAGACGCGCAGGTCGTGGGATTGAATGTATGCTGTGGTGGCTGCATTTTGGATGGAGACAAAAAGGCTGTAGGCCAGTGTGCTCAGATATGGGTGCACGTAAAAGAACCCTAGATGGTAAAAATTTCTGGAGCCCTCCACTACGGCATCTCTTATAATCAAATGGTAGTTTTGGGACGTTAAACCTCGCATATAAATCAATAAGTAATGGTCTGCTTACCGAGGAGAATTAAGTTGTTACGAGTGAATTTATTAGAACAGACGCTCATTGTGTCCACCACCTTTCTAATGCGTAAGTTTCTGATTTGCGTCGTTCTTTGTCGCAGGTTGTCTGCATCCGTCAGGAAGTGATAGAATGATATGTTGCCACCTTTCCACCCCGATGCCACGCATTGCAACACACTGCAATGACCTCTGAACATCGCTTTCTTCTTTTTCAAGCTCACAACTGCGAGATTGCGAAAAGAAAGGAACACGCGCAACGCGGTCGCATGTCTGTTTTCAAGGTTGTCCCTGTGAGCGCCGTTTCCAGCCATGGCTGCTAGATGGCGAGCACTCAGTTGGAGTCGCGAATAAACTTCACTTTGGCTGGCATGGAGACCAAGTCCTTGTGACTTCTTTTTAAAAGAGTTGGTATAAGTTGTTGGCAACAGTAGCCCAAGTGTTCTAAGAAATGGCCGTAGGATGCTAACAGCCCTAAAAATGATTCTTTTTTCAGGCTTTTTCAGTTCTTTTTCAGTTGTGCAGAACTGCAAAGAACTGTGCAGTTACTAGCACAGTTCTTTTCAGGCTGTGCTAGTAACTGGAGCAACAGACATGCACACCGGCAAATGAACTTAGTGTTCCTTTTCCTGATCAGTTTGTGTTAATGTTGAAACTTGCAAACATCATGGTGTATAGCTTAGTGCAAACTAGCAACTTGGGTTCAGTTTGTTGAGATGTTACTGCGTAAGATGCAATGTTCACTACTTTCCTTTCACAATTTGCAGGGTACTCAACTGTGTGAGTCCGCAAAACAGTGCAGCGGTACAGGTGGCGGGCATGCTGCATCACAAGCTGATCGTGAGCGTTGCGTCATATCTTTTGACACCTGGCCAGAAGAAGTTCAGACCGAGTTTGTTGAGGCTCTACTAGCTCGGATGTCTCACTGCCAGCATTCACGCATCAGCACATTCCTGAGACCAATGTTGCAGCGCGACTTCATTTCTATGCTGCCAAAGAAAGGGTGTGTGCAACATTGCTTTGTAATGCTACATTTTCATGCAATATCAGAAATCTCATTCATTGAGTGACATTAAGATGTTTTAATGCTTTACTGATATGTATGTGGAAGTTGATATCTGTTGAATTTGAGTCAAATGAATTTAAATTTAAGAGTGGCCTATGCTGCTCTTATCATTGATGTTTATCGTTTTAAGGCTGCCACTGCAGAAACTTGCCATTCAAGTTCATCCTAACCTGTATGTGTCCGTCATGTCTACTCTCTCATTTAAAACCCACGATCAGGCTCCCTTGAGGTAGACAGTGAATAGGAACTAAGCCGCATTGCAAAATCTTCGGCTAAACTTTTTTTCTTTTACTCTTGTAGGCACTGCCTTTTTTTTTCTTCTACACCCCCAGTATTTGTACTTTGCTTGTACAGCTTACTTGATTTGTGTTCTTGTTCGTGAATTTATGACTGTCGTGTTTTAAACGTGCATTGTAGAATAAATTCAAGATATTCCAAGTGTTTGAACGAAGGCTTTTAACTTGGGGAAAATGATGCAGTTCCTTTTTTTTTTTAAATAGGGATGTGGAAGTTGTCATAGTGTTCTAATTTGTTTGACTAATAAAACTCGGAAATAATGACTGTAGAACATGAAGCAAATCTGAAATCAAAGGTTGAGTGCTCAGTAGTTCGCAGTAGTGAGGCATTAATACCAGTATTGTATGTTTAGTGTGAATCCTCAAAGCACCAGAACACTTATTCCTATACTACCTTACTGATGAGCAAGTGCATGCTGAAATTCAGCTCAAGTTTTGTACAAGTTTAGCTAAATACATTGGGAGCAACATAAAATTAATGTGCATTTGAGTCAAAATGTTTATGTGCCAGCTTCACTGACATCTAGTCATTATGTTCATATTGGCATTTAACTTGTGTGCTCAGTTTGGGTACATGTTAAAGAAACCCAGGTGGTCGAAATTTGCGGAGCCCTCCACTACGGCATCTCTCATAATCATATGGTGATTTTGGAATGTTAAACCCAACATATCATCATCACAATGGCCTTTGATGTAGTGTTGTATTTATTTAGTATCACTAGGATGTTTATTGTTTTGTTTTTGTTTTTTTTTCTTCCTCCTTATTCAGGCTGGACCATGTTGCTGAAGCTATCCTGTCATACTTGGATGCACGCAGCCTGTGTGCTGCTGAAGCAGTTTGCAGGTTGGGATTCTGGCAAATTTGTTTGGGAGCTGCTTGATAGAAACAGCATTTGTTTAATTCATATTGTGAATATTTTTGCTCTCCCTTAAGATTTGTATCACCGAGATTTTACTGTACTTGAGAAATCCTACCTGCGCTTCTTTATAAGCCATTATAAGACCGTAATGCTGATCTTTACTCCTAATTAAAGGGCCCTCTAATACTTTTTCATCTTTTTTTATTTGTAGTTTTTGTTGGTCTAAGCACCGTTATTAAATGATCTAGTATTTTAGTCATGCAGTAAAGTCACTACATCGTTGCGAACACCGGCACAAAGTGGCAACAGCAGAGTTATTTGCGAGCCGAAACAACTCGAGGTGCAGGCTTCCGGCGACATGAGAACTGATATTACTAATATCATTTTTTTCTGTGCTTTTTCCATAAACCCCAAATCATTGCAGTTACAACAAATTAAAATAATTACAATTACACAGCACGACAGGTGCTGGCTACCATTTCGCCTCTGGATTTTCTGCTTGCGCGGATCGGATATGAAAGGCTTCTCTTTCTTCCCTCTTGCTTTTTTGTGTTTGCGAGCTGCCTCTTTCTCGCATGTGGTAGACCCTTGATTGTTGCGGAAATGATGCAGGCAATCCCCTTCATTGAATGGATGCCAGTGCTCCCTTGTAGTTGTCTCAGGCGGCTCATCAAACAGCCCGTGAAGTGCTACATTATTTCACTGCCCTGGTTGTTTCTCAGATTCTCTTCTCTGAGTGAGGGTAAAGTGTGACATGTAATGTTGGTATAGTGAACAGGAGACAATATGTCGCTTCAAAATACTGTCCCACAAGAGACCTCCCACCCCAAGGGAAAGAGAGCGACGTAGCAGCCATCTGGTAAAAGAGGCATTGAACCGACGAGCCAACTTTCAAATGCCAAAAAGGAGCAGCGTCAAGCTAGTTCGTGCTGCAGCACTCGTGTTTCTGTCCTTTCGGTCTGTTTTGTATGCATTGCCATTTTGAACATCAAAGCCAACTGTGAACATGGCTTGGATTGACTTGTGGTTTGGTCATGGTAGCCATTTAATGGATACTTGGCTGGCCGAAAGCTGTAATGGTCATTACATGTAGTTTAAAATGCATGGCCTTTGAGGTCAGCAATTTTCATTTATGCATTGTTTTCTACATTGAAAAGATCTCTAGCCATAGCCAGTGCAACCGTGAAACCTTTCAGTGCTGGCAATCTAGTAACGATATTGCATTTGGGGGAAAGTTGCGCCAATCGTAAATTACTGTGCCATACTGCACCAAAAGGGTCTTTTTTGTCTAATTTGTGCCATTGCTGTGCCACAAGCTGGTTTTGGAACCGAAAGTAATGTTGACAGCATGCATCGTAAGCGGATATTACGTGATGGTCGCCGTCGTGTACTTGCGCTGTGGCAAAAGCACGGAATCGGCCGATCAATTATTCCGACTTCCACGCGATTTCTGCGGTGCCTTTTTTGGTGACCATTGGCAAAGAACGAACATGATGTAGCTACTACCGAAAGAGAGAGAGTAAACTTTATTTCAATAGGACAGTCGGTGGTTTAATCCCGGGTGGAGCCCTCTTTTTAATCCCGGGTGGAGGAAGGCGGCACCAGTCCCTGGCTTGCTGGCTGCAGTCAGGGTGCCAAGGGGCGTACTTCCGTGTTGTAAGGCATTGGTTTTCCAAGATCTGCCAACTTGTTGTGTTCTTCATGGAGGCTTGAGAGGTGCCCTGAGGAAGGTCCTGCGTCTCGGCCAGTAATTCCGCGAGCTACGCAGTTTGCCTCCTCGTTCCCCTTCAGGCATGTCCTGAGCACTAGGTGACGCCATGTACCTCCGTCAGCGTGGCCCCAAAATATCAATGATACATCTGGGAAGTGTGCCTTTGAGATATAAGTGACAGGCAGCTTGTTAGTCGGTCAATATATACGCTGAGCGTTTTTACCTTCATCAGCTATAGCCTTGCCAAGGCTATAGCTGATGCTTCTGCGGTGGTGCTGGATCTCGTGCGTATAGACACGCAGGCACGACTTTGTTTTGTCTAGACACTGCCGCTACATATTCCTGTTTTCTGGGGCCTTGAGATATCATGGCGTAAAGTGACTATCGAAAAGCACGGCAGTATGACTTATTGCCGACAAAAAGCCTACGTGTGTGGCTACGTAGCGCTGCTTTTTAAGCCTACTGCGCGCTTTTAATAGCCGGTGACTACGTGAGAATGTTAAGACACCGATCGCTGCTGCCAGAAATGGGCTTTGCTGCCCATTTCTGTTGTTCCCATGTCCCGGCATGACTCCCCTCCTCCGCTGTCTGCTGCGCTGGGGGGAGCGAGAAGTGACGTTTAACCCCTCTCACCGGGTCGCGAATGTCGACTGTGGCGCCGTGCGCAAAGTCTCTTGGGACGTTTTGAGCATGCGTATCGGGGAGTAAGTCGGATTTCTCCGGGACAGCTGACGCTGAGCACGCATTCTCTTTTCCGTACATCAACTCCCATTGTTTGGGGCTCGTCCGACTTCGCCAACGACGGTTCGCGCCCGTGGCAAACACTCACCTTTTGTTGCCCCTTGCGAATGTTACGCGGAGACGTGCTCGCGGTACCTCTGTGTAGTACTTCGCGCCCGTGGCATGTATAAGCCCACTTGCTTTCCCGTCGCGCCCTTGCAGCGGGCTCTGTACTGCGTTTTTGGTTTTGCCGCAGACAAAAAAGTGTTGCGACCTTAAGCAGTGTTGTGTTCTCGCCATGGCGACTGTCAACACGTGCCCTGCGTCTCGCTCAGACCGGACCCATGGTAGTGGCCAGAATCCTTCGGGCCTTACTACACTGTGCACGCTCTTATACGGAGTGGGCGCAAGCGGCTTGGCACTGTGTGTACACCAAGTATGTGAAGCGGTGCACGCAACTAGCCACTAGACGAACGGCTCCCGGCGACCGTACCGCGTCTCAAAAAAACTGTTTCTGCTAAGTAGCAGCATCGTGGTACACCTTTATCGCGGACAGCATAACCAGGATGTCCATCCCTGGTTATGTCAGTCGTTGGGTTGGCTGCATATCTCGAACTCCGCAGTAGTTTCGAAATGCTCTTCGGCGTAGCCACTGCGTGCCATCGGGCGAGAATATTTGCTGTGGCACTGTATTTATTCCCTCCTTAGCAGTGATGGTGCGCTTAAAGAAACGCAAAGTACCGTAATTACTCGAATCTAACGCGCATCATTTTCCCGGTTAAGCGAGTTCATAAATCGCATGCGCGTTAGAATCGAGTACGAAAAAAAATGAATACGATCATTCTATTGCCATTGGCATTTCCAGAATGGCCGCCTCCTACGTGCGTTGGCATGGCGCGTCGGCCATTTCTGCCTATGTATTTCCTATGTGCCGCAGTTCGTACATGTGCTGAGGAGTTCGTCATCTTGTAGTGCATTAGCATTGACGGCATGGAAGGGCCGACTCCAAAAACTCGACGAGTGCACCACGATGCCGCTTTTAAAAGAAAAGTCATCGCGTGTGCCGAAACGAACGGAAATCGGGCCGCATTGCGGTCGTTCGGAGTTTACGAAACGTGCGTGCGAGTCTGGTGGAAACAAATGCAGAAGTTTGTCGATAGCAAAGATTCACGCAAAGACTTCAGTGGACCACAGCAGGGTCGGTTTCCGCAAATTGAAGAGCTGCTCGGCGAATATGTGATTGAGCAGTGAGCGGCACTGCGGCCCGTGACGACAGAACTGCTCCAAGTGCAGGCTATGTAGTTAGCATTAGAATAAGGGCTAATGCGGAGCCAGTTTAAATAAAGCAAGCAGGTGCTGGCTAACTAACTTTATGAAGAGGAAAGGCTTTCCCCTCCGAACGCGAACGGGCATATGCCAAAAGTTGCCGGAGGAGTACAAAGAAAAGCTTCACCGTTTTCAGCAAGGTTCGTCCTAAACTTGCGGCACAACGGCTACCTGCTTGGGAAAATCGGGAATGCCGATCAGACGCCTCTTTACTTCGACATGCCTGGCACCACAGCCGTTGAGAAGAAGGAGGCGAAGCAAAATCGCGTGCTATCGGGCCATGGTATAACTAGAGTGACGGCAATGCTCCGTTGCACGTCAGATAGGCACAAGCTTTCCCCGTACCTCATACTTAAACGGAAGACGCTCCCGAAAGGAGTCGTTTTCCCGAGTGGTGTCATCGTGCGGGCCAACGAGAAAAATGGGTGCGCGTTGCAATCGATGTCTTACTTTTTTTTTTTTTTTTTCGTCGTTGAAACCGGGTGCACGTTACAATCGAGGGCGCGGTAGATTCGAGTAAACACGGTAGTTGAGAAACACAAATTAGCACTTGAGGGAACCCTGTGCACGCTTATGCAGTTTAGTTGTGGCTAATGCATACTATACGATTAGTGATTATAGTTTGCCGCGTTCCCAGCAGGTTTTTGGCATCTATGTACATATTAATGAAGTTTTACTGTAATAAGCTTTGAATGTATGTGTGCTGCTATGAACTTCATGTTATGGCTAGCTTGTTTGTGCAATATGTCACCACTTCTGTTCTTAATACTACTTTTATCTTTTGTGCTGATTTTGTGGACTTACTGCTTCTTTATGAATGATTAGGCAAACTGAAGGAACAATAAACTACATTAAAGCTAAATTTTTTTTCTTCTGTGTGTGTCAGGAAAAGCTTGTGCATACTCCAAACATAGTAATAGCTGTTCCAAAAGCAGATTTTGCCTGCTCCAATGGCTGCTCCGAAACGCTGGGAGGCATTCCAACCAGGGGTATTTTAAACATCGTGAGCAGCTGGTCATGGTGTTCGACGTTGCACATGATAAGCCAACTGAAGTGTGAAAAATTGAAGGATGCTTTGTGGGGTGTTCGAATTTGTAAATTTACATTACTTCAATGGGACGAGGGACGGTGCCAAGAAAGTGTTCGATAAATGGGCATGTCTAAATTTTCAGCGTTTGAATTAATGATCAATGACCGTACATATATATTGATTACTTTAGGAAGTTCCTGCACATGATTAATGATTTTTTGAAAGCTTCTCTGAATTGATACTAGGTGTCTCCCTGCTAGCTTCGTGTGATTAGCTCAATATATTATCCTTACTCCATTTAACTTTTGTGTGCTTTTGGTGTCATTGTTCAGAGTCATAATTAAATACCAGCATGCTTGAATTTAAGCACTTTTCCTTGAAATCATGGTCATCTATGTAAGGCTACACACACGTTAAGTGCTGTGATGTAGTATCAAACTTCTTGCTGGTGCAATGATGGTCACAGGGAGTGGCGTCGTGTTGTGGCTGAAGGAGGCCTTTGGCGCAAGCTGATGGAGCGACGTGTTTCAACGGACCCCCTGTGGCGGGGCCTGGCTGAAAGGAGGGGTTGGATGCAGTACCTGTTCAAGCCACCGCCAGGTGAACCCCATCCTGACCACATGTTTTACAGGTATGTGAACTGATCTGAAGAACTGTAAACTTATTCGGAATAAAAGGTGCGCTTGACACAAACCTACTCTTTTTTTTACGTTTAATCATGTTTTCTAGGCGTTTGTATCCTCGCATCATTCAAGACATTGAGAGCATTGAGAACAACTGGAGGTGTGGAAGGCACAATCTCCAGCGCATAAACTGTCGCTCAGAAAATTCCAAAGGTGTCTACTGCCTGCAATATGATGACACTAAGATTGTGTCTGGCCTGCGAGACAACACAATCAAGATATGGGACAGGGGATCCTTGCAGTGTGTCAAGGTAATGGAACCATTTGTTATGAAAGTTGTATTGCGAATTCAAAATTTTTGGCTGTGTGCATACCTCTACAGGTGCTGACAGGTCACACAGGCTCAGTGCTATGCCTGCAGTATGATGACAAAGTCATAATTTCTGGGTCCAGTGATTCCACTGTCCGGTAAGGCCGTTCTGTCTCTTTATTGGCAAATGTTTTTTTTTTTTATTTGCAATTTCGTAGTGCAGTAGCCAAGCGGCATAAGCTCATAACACTTCGAGTGTTTTAACTTCAAAAATGCCTCAGTTATACATTATTGGTCACCTGACTGATTTGAATTAGAGGAAGATTGTTATATAGGGAGCCGATAACATTATCTGCAGTTATTAAAACATAAAACAGTTGTCATCTGTTTGATTGTAGCATGAAGCTGCTACAAAGGAAATCCTATGTTTATGTAACGACCCATATTTGTGCAATAAATTGCTTTAGTACTGGCAAGACCTCCATTAAAATTATGTATTGAAAATCTCCATTATATGAGAATTTTACACCCAAGTTTTGACACTTTTTTTACGAGTGAAGTAAATACCAGCTTATAAACATAAAACTTACATGCCTCATTAGAAATGGGCAGAGACAAAAAATTTTTTTTAGAATGGAAAATTTATTCTGACAGTTCATTTTCTTTTGCAACCTGGATTTTCTGGCCTTAAGATTACTTCTTGATACACAGTGTTTGCGTACGTATTCGAGGGACATTACTCAAAAGTACTCAGTCTGCAGGAAGTAGCTTAAGCTAGTCGGCAGGCTCTTTATGGCCTGGATATTTTTACATTTTCGTGCCGGGGAAACTTTTCTTGGTGGATGTGCTGCTGAAGGTCTCTCTTTGTTTGCACTTCTCACGGTCAATGGCGTCAAGCATGCAAAAAGGACACTGTGCAGCTGTTCTCGGTGTCAGTTTTCATATTGTGGCACGTCACCAATTGCCCTTCATTGGTAACGAATGCGATGTGCATTGGGCGCGATCGTGCACCAAATCATCGTGAGTGAACGCTTAACTGTAGCATTCTTGATAAAATGTACTTTGTCGCCTTTTTGAGAGAGCGGTGGTGCTGTAGCTGAGCCCTCTTGTTGAAGGCTGCTCCCAAAGTGGTTTCAATTTATTTTTATGTTCTAATAAGTGGACACTTTTCTGACCCATTTTATTGGACAGATGCACGTTAAATTTGATTTCTTTTAAATGCAAGAATGAAGGTTCACTAACACCTCCGATGCATGGCTGTCATTTAAAAAAAAAAAAATTAGCTTCCTGAGAGCAGTGCAGGTTTATGTTGTAGGCTTTATTGAGGCAGTCATGTCAATTTTTGTTACGAAGACTAGGGTCACTGCTTACATTGTTGATATTTAGAATGGTTTTGTGTAATCTCCTCAGTGATAAAATTAGGGTTCCACTGTGCATGCAAATTTCTTGGGAAAGAAAGCTTCCCAATTATGAAAAACGCTGCCATATCTGAGGTTTTGCTAGCAATGCATTCGGGTGACTGGTTTTTCTTGGGGAAATCTTAATGTATTTTGTTTGTTCAGTAAAAGCTTGTTAATTTGACTCAAGTTAGTTTGAAAAATGAGAATTTAGATGTGTTCCTTGGTCCTGAAAAGCATATGCATTGTTTAGTGGCATGAAACCATCATTTAATTTTGTCACACTTGGCCACAGGTTTCAGCCTTATTAAACGCAGCGCAGGAGTCCGACTTTGGGTTTGCATAGAGAACCAAGTCGTGAGATTATGAATATTGGTGTTTTTGCTCTGCTCTTATGCTAAATAAATACCGAGTTTATGTATTCATCGATAAAATAAACATGTATTGATGTAGTAGACATAATTATTTATATGGACAATTCAAACTTTTTTCGGATCCTGTGAAATTTGAGCTAACAAGCTTTTACTGCAACTTCAAGCTACAGTTGGATGGATGACTAACTTCCTTTTCTGTGAAACTTCCTCTACCTTGCAGGCTTCCGCTGAGCTGGTTTACCATAGCTGCAGTTCCGCATGTTCCACATTCTGCTGCTGCACACTTCCTTAAACTTTTCGCATGTGTTGCACTGCTTTTGTCTGCTTTTTAACAATGAAAGTGAGCTTTCTGAAGCGTGAGTACGTGGGTGGTGTTCTCACCTGGCTGGCCACACAAAGCATTTTGAAATAACCACTGTTGTCTTTACATGGAAAGCTGGGCCTTGCAAGGTTCTGTAACAGTGTTCACTGGTCATTAAAGACTTATTTTGGTGGAGAAAGTTGGTGGTAGCCCTCTTCAATTAGAGAAAGTATTTACTTGATGGTAAAGCAGCATTTTCAGTCAAGCGAACTGTTATCGTGGCTGCAAGAAATTTATATATTAAGTGTTTCATTAATTTCCACATTTTGTTGTGGGCACGATGCACAAGCACTTGTGTTGTTACATTGTAGGTACATGTTAAAAGTCTTACATGTTTTGGTACTGAGAATGAACACTTGGTTTTTTTTTCTTGTAAGCCACAATTAGGTCAGAATGCAAAAACGGTTTGTGTACTTGTATTTAACTACACTTTAAAAAATTACATATGATCAAAATTAATTTTGAACCCTACCATGTGGCATCTTTCATTGTTATATTATTGCTTTAGGATATTTCTCCAGGAATTCATGATTCTCAACTTAAGGGAAGAAACTGGTCTTAAAATTGTTTTTTTTTTTGAACTTTGAGTATTTAAAGCTGAAAATTTTATGTGATGTGCATTTCTCACAGCTGAAAACAAATATGCAATTTGTTTTCAGTTGTCACTTCCAGATTTTAAAATATTGACTGTTATATAAACTAACATTCTGCCCACTGTTTAGACAGCTTTCTCATAGATTGCTGCTAATTAAATATGGGAGTGTTCTGTAAAGAACAAAGAGTGCAAGGAAACCATAGTTTTGGTGGAGAAAGTTTTTAGCTTCATTTTTAGCTTCATTGGTTCAAGATTTAAGGCCTTAACAAGTAGACTCGTCAAAAATATGAAACTGCTGCTGAAATATACTGTCAATTAAATCGCTGTTCTTAATTAAATTATAATGTTTTGGTCTTGTTGCACTCATCGATGTATAAGCTTTCAAATGCTGCAACAATTACCAAAATTCAACCACTAGATCAAAAGATACTGTGGGAAATGGCCTCAGACTTGATGAAAAATGTTCTGTTAAAACGAGAAAAGTTTAGGGACACGGTGAGCATGTATATTCAACAGGTAATGGTGTAAATCAGTGCAGTAATGATGCTACAAGCCACCAGGAGTGTAGTCATCATTCATTGAGCGCTTTCTTTTCATTGCATGCCGGAAGTTTCCATAGTTCAGATTGGCATACAGCGTTCTGACGGTGTTTGCACATTGCGCAGTCGTCAGTAACGTGCATCTCATAGAAGCAGCCTTCTATGAGATGGGAATCGTTCCCACTTTCACATAATCTTTATGTCTTTGCATCTCCATGAAACATTCAGGGTGAAAAAAAAAATGCAATTCAACGCAGTTTGTATGCTGTGCCGCATGAACCGTTAGCACGTTGATCTCGAACGGGCCGTGCGCCGCATCTCCCCCCTGCTCTCAGCAAGCTCCATACAAATTTCAGTTCCCCGCACTCATCACACGTCGGCACAAGTTTCGTGGCGATGCCATATTCCCGATCTTTCTCAGAAATGTTGCCAGGCCCGCACTTCATTGTAAGCTTCATTGTTCACCGTTGTAAGCTGCTTCACTGAAGCAGCTTACAACTGTGAACGGCGTTTCAGTAGTCGCAGTCTCTTCAGAGTCTCAAAAAAACAGACAGCTCGCGTCGTGAGGCTGACGTTGATGAAAGGTCCCTTTGAATGTCACTCTCACGACACGCAAGGGCCACTTTTCCAGTGCAACAAGGGGAGTGCCGAGGCGCAGATCTCACGGGTCGAAAAACGGGGATTTTTTTTGAAAAAAATCAATTTTGTGTTTTGTTGTATTCCTCCGAGCCTTCTCCTTAATATGTTATAAAATAAAAGGTGAGAATCAACTAGAAGTTATCAAAAAAATACAATTAAAGCACTCGCGGTAGCTCGCAAAAGTGCAAAATTACGAGATTTTCACACACGCGGCACTTCGCTCTGTGGCATCGCTGGCTCTTGAAATTTCGCGGGCATGTAGGCCTAACCCTCCCTTCCAAAAGGCCATTTCGGCAGCGTGGCATTCTCGCTGAAAATACAACAAAATAAATTGTTTCCCCACTGCATTTCAGCATGGCGAGTGGGCCTTTCAAGTCACGTGGCACAATTGGAGCGCTGCCATTGGTTGCGAGCATTCCGACGTGCATCCAAGTGCGAGTGCTCTTTCTTCGTTCTCCTGTTTTTGCTGAGACGACATGGCAGAAACAACCGGCTGAGTTACTTTTTCCCCTCCATGGTGCCGATGGATGCTGGCGAAAAATGTGACTTTCGTTCAAGTAAGTTTATGACGAGGCACCAGTTCAAGGGAAAGTGCACCAAACGCAAGCGGAGGGCTCCGGCGATGGGAGGTTCGTCTGCTGCAAGGCCTAGACCCGGCAACGACGAAGCACCTGATTTAGATTCTGCGACCTTCATCCATAGCGTTGATGACTTCGTGAGTGCTTCCGACAGAAAAATGAAGATATTCAACAACAAAAGTGAGCGTCAAGGTGAGAGCGGCAGCACATTTATTTGCGAGATGGACTTGATGCAGAACCTCGTCAGCGGCGCAGTATGCCCCAACTGCGGACTGTGCGAGCTGTCTGTGTCTGAGAATCGGCAGATAGGCGAAAAGGACTGGCATTGTTTTTAGAATTTTATTGCCGAATGACGCATGTGCTACAATTGTCGTTTCATCAACATACACGTCAAGCCAAATGTCTGCGTCATGCAGTGAAAGGGTGGATACATCATGTCTGCGTCATGCAGTGAAAGGGTGTAGCGGCAGCACACGGGACAGCTTTGCTGTGAATGTAAAGTCGGTGGACGCAGCGCGTGCGATCAACGTCGGACACGATCAGCTTGTGCGGTTTTGCGTGATCCTTGGCATTACAAAACCAGTGACTCATAAGACCTTCACGGCCATCGCCAAAAAAGTGCACGCAGCCGCCATGAAAGCCGCCGCTTGAAACCTCGCACGAGCAAGACAGCTGACTGCCGACGACGACGGATCGTCGGATCTAGCCGTTATGTTCAACGAAACATGGCAAGGAGGAGGCCACAAAAGCCATAATGGTGTGGGTACGGCCGTTTCCCTTGTCACAGGGCTGTGTTTGGACATTGAAGTGCTGTCAAACTATTGCCTCAGCTGCAGCAGGCACAGGGCACTGGAGGATGGGGAAGAAGAAATTTGGCAAGCTTTTCACCCACTCGTGTGTGATAAAAAAACACCTGTTCAGCACTTGCTATGGAGACCGAGGCTGCAGTACATATATGGAAAAGAACAGACTCCTACACTATACCTTCGCAGTTCACAACGTTCGTTTCAGATGGGGACAGCAAAGCATATACTGCCGTGTCAGAATTGAATCTGTATGAAGGTGTTCCTGTGCTAAAGGAGGACTGCACGAATCATGTCGCCAAAAGACTTGAAACTGCTCTCCGAAAATTGAAGATGCCATGAGGTCAGAGGTTGAAGGAGGCAACAATTGACAAGCTGCAAGGCTATTTTCAATTGGCAATCACAAGTGACCGAGGCAGTGTTGGCAACATGTATTGTGCTGTCTGGGCATCCTACTTTCACTCTTGCTCGAGGGATGGTACCAGCAGTCACAATTTTTGCCTAGACTGTGACGCGTCTTGGGGCAAGCACAAGCGAGCACAAACACTGGGTGAGCCAGCACCACCCCACACTCCCATCCTGACTCCTTCCCAAGGCAAGGCAATGCTGCCAGTTTATAAAAGGCTGATAGAAGAAAAGCTGCTTCAGCATTGCATGAAAGGACAGGCACAGAACGCAGCTTAATCGCTCAACAGCAAAATATGGCTCTTGTGCCCAAAAACAAAATTTGCGACAAGAACCGTGGTTAAAACAGCGACGGCAATCGCTGTCCTTTGGTTCAGCCGAAGGCACTCTTGAGTTTGAGGAGGTGCTTCAGGAACTTGGAGTTCTCTCGTCTAAGGAATTACTTTCTTTAAGCAAGGATGCCAACAAGAGGCACATTTCCAGAATGACAGCAAGGGTCACAGCCGAAGCAAGGGCCCATCGTTGCAGTGCCGCAAAAAAAATCCCGCCTCGAGGACTGTGAGGGTAAAACGTAGGGTGCTGGGTTCTTCTAAAATTGTGAACTTGTTCCAGAGAGCCTTGGTGACATTTTCTGTGAATTTTGTGCAGATCGCTTGAAGAGTATAGAATTAAACATGTTTTTAAACTTTAAAACCTGTTTTCTTTAGTTTCTTGTTTTTCGGCATTTTTATAGTTTGTGCACTAAAATTTGTATGCTTTATTAAGTCTGCAACAAAACTTGGCATGCTTAATGTTTAATATGTCATGAATTCGAATAAGCAATTTTCACAAGTCTCCAAAGCATGATCAGCTAGATCATTTCAAAAGCTTGTTTTTTGAGTGAAGTAAAAGTGGAACTCTGCATTAGAATTTTTTTCTAGGCCAGCACACATATGTTACACAATGTTTCTTTGCTTTATTGAATTCCTCAAGAGCAATATTTGCTATTTTTTAGAGCTTTCTTGTGCTTATTATTGCTGCCTAAGCTTGCACAAAAATGCATTGTTTTTAAAAATGCATGGTCTAGAAAAAATTAACTAATTGAGCTATAAAAAAATGATAGTATATCTGAAAAGAGAAGCTCGAATGCTATAAACAGTGAAAGTTTTATTGAGCTGTCACAAATATTTGTAGAAAAAGTTTTTTGAGGAGCATCTCCCCTTAACTGAGTTTTTATGATTGACAAAATTTGCATCCTATAGCCACTGCACCAATTTTGGCATGGAAACAACTGGTAGAATTGGGCAAGTTTTCAGTTTAACATAAAATTTGGCAAGCTTGTGTCTACTAGCATTACATATTCCTTTTAACTATTCTGCTGAGGGGGAACCCCCAACCTGTAGTGAAAGTGGAGAGGCACTGACCTTGCTTTACGTTTTATTATACTGTGAGAAATAGGAACATTAAAGAAATAAGTCATTATTGCAGAAAATTCCCTGAATACCTCTAGACATTTAGGTTGTGACCCATTTTTTAATCATGCATTAGTTAGAATTTTCTGGGAAGATTCCAAAACATTGCAAGTTATTTGTACCAGAGACCCGTAGCACAAGGGGATGCTGCTACGAGAAAATTTTTTAATGCACTGACCTGAGGCCCTTGCTTGCAAGCGTGAAAGAATGTATGCTTGGGGATGTTGGCAATTCACATATCAAAATTTAGCTCGTAAGAGGACAAAAATTAAAAGCACTCTGTCTACATCACTTTTCGTCCTTGTCCTTTTATGCTCTAAATTTTGAGACTTGCAAGGGTGCTTCTTAATAAAAAACAGTTGTGCTTTCAATAATTTGTAGTGTACACTTTTAATAATACATATTTTAAATCGCTCTACATAATTCCCGTCATCATCATAATTTTATTATTTATATCTATTTTATGTGTGCCTAATGCACTGAAATTTTGGCCCTTTTACAGTTGCGTTACACTAAGCCATTACACTAAGCACAGGACCGGGTTAACTGGCAGAACATGGGAAAGGCCTTTGTCCTGCAGTGGACTTAGTCGAGCTGATGATGATGAAGCCATTCTCATTAATCTTACCAATGCATATACGTTGTACTTGACACTCTCCGGCTTAGACCAGCCCTTGCATGCTTTAAATCATCATTTAAGGGGGAAGACGGCTCTTTGGGACCAAAATGTGACAAAAAAAAATCATTTTTTAAAATTGACATATTTCGTATCTGCAAGTATTTCGCTATCTCTCTCCAAATTTTCACACACCAGGAAGTGGTAATTTTTTTGTAATGTCATGCTAAATGTCCAGATTCTTGGTGCTGTTAACATGCAGAATCTACAGAAAAAATGGGGAACCAACTTCGAGGTCTCTTTATAATTTGCCGACATCTGTGTTAGAAGCTCTGCTACAAATTTATGAGCACTTTTATGAGGATTGCAAAACATGCACACCCTGATTGTTGCTTTTTGAAGAAGCTGTGTGTTTTCAGTTTTTTCCATTCTTCTCAAAAAAGTAAATTTACTACTGTTCAATTTTGAGGCCTCAATATCTCTGCAGCTAGGGCAGGTACAACAATAATTCTTTTTGCTCTGGAAACCTGTATGTGTGTAGGGTGCAAGTATGGGAGCAAAATTTAGAGAACAAGCCTTTTTAATTAATTACTCGTCAAAACTTTAACACAATTCCAACTGCTTTTGAAAATGGATAGTTCATTTTGCTGTAAAATAATTAAGAAAGGCTTAAAAACAAAAAACTTGCATTATTTCAATCTATAGTCATGAGTCTATGTTGGGATATTTTAAATATCACTTTTAATTAAGCACTTTTTTGTATGACGGCCTTAAACAATAGGGAGTGAACTTAAGTTATCTCGAGAATAAGATGAGTTACAGAAAAACTAATTAAACATTTGAAATCAGCAGAAAAAAATGCATCATTTTGTGCAGTTTGATCAAGATCACTGAAGAAGTAAACAAAAAATGTCTAATAGCAATCTTTTAAATAATAGCAATGCTTTTAAATAGCAAAACGTGTAATGTGTATTTTGCACGTCGTGTATTATTAAAAAATTAAACTAATTTTGAGCATTTGGTCATTCATTAACGGGAGTCAATTGTAGCAAATGTTGTCTTGCAGGGTCTGGGACGTGAAAACAGGCGAGATGGTCAATACCCTAATTCACCACTGTGAGGCTGTGCTTCATCTGCGCTTCAACAATGGCATGATGGTCACTTGCTCAAAGGTAAGCCATATTTAGTGCATCTGCATAAATACAGAGAAACTTTTCTATGGTGTAGGCCAGTGGTTCTTAGCCGCAGATGTTTCAGGATCCTTGTGGACTGGGGGAAGTGATCAAGGAGAGAGGAGAGGCTGGGGGTTATAAAGTTTAACCCTACATGTAGTGTGAAAGAGGTGCCTTTTTTTTTTTTTTTTTCGAGGATGGGTTTCACGCGCCCATTTGACTGACCCACTCCCATTTGAGAACCACTGGTGTCGGTTTATACAACACTTTTATGAATTTAATTTAGATGGTGCTGGTTGAATTCATAGTCAAGTGATAGACTAAAGGGGGGGGGGGGGGCAGAAGAATGTCCCAAGACATTGCCAATGAATTCAACATTACTTAACTAGATCTAACACACTGACTAAACTAATGATCATCCCACATTGATGTTAACCGATCCACAACTTTCGATGAGTGTAATCATGGGTTTTTCTATAAAAATGACAAACGACTATATTTGTTGTAGTTGTATGTGTGTGTGTTTTTTTTTTTTTTTTTTTTTTTTTGATAATGAAATGGCCCCACTTGTTGCCCTGCCACTTTGGTCTAGTGGCTAGGGTACTCTGCTGCTGACCTTCAGGTTGGAGGATGGAATCCCAGCTGCGGCAGCTGCATTTTCGATGGAGGCGAAAATGTTGTAGGCCCGTATGCTCAGATTTGGGTGCACATTCAAGAACCACAGGTGGTCAAAATTTTCGGAGGATGGGTTTCACGAGCCCATTTCACAGACCCACTCACATTTGAGAACCACTGGTGTGGGTTTACACAGCACTTTCATGAATTCAATTTATATGGTACTAGTTTTTCATAATGGTTTTTCATAATCATATGGTGGTTTTAAGACGTTAAACCCCACATATCTATCTGTGACCTCACTTGTCCATGGTTTCAGTAGATTTTATTCCTCCTCCTTTGTCTCTGCTTTTATCACATTGCCGTCACTTATACTGCGCACTTCGTATCTTTTTGGCTTGTGCGAGTATTCGAATGCTTCAATTTAAATTTACTATATAGGAACTTTTGAGGTACAGTAGGCTCCCGCTATAACGAACTCCACTACTATGAGATTCCTGTCACAACAAATAATTTTTAGTTCCCCAGCAGCCACCCATAAAAAACAATATGACAATGCATTTCTGGCATCCTTCCGCTTCAACGAAGTTTTCACGAGTACTACCACGTAAAGGAAAGGCACTTGCCTAGGATTGCCACAAAATTTTGCTACCAACTCGGCCATTTCTCTTTGGCTCGTGGCTTTCTGAGCAGTGCAGCCTCATCGCAACACCCGTGTCTTCATCAGAGACTCACTCTTTGCCACCATGCGCACATCCTGGTAAATTTTTCATCGTCGAGATCGTGAATGACACCAAATGCACATGGCGCAGCCAGCGTTCACTTAGTCCAAGCGTGAATACATTCTGCCGCAACCACTGTAAGCACAAATGCAGTTGTGTTGATGCTGTTGTGGGCAACTACAAAAGTATGCACGCATTCAACCTGCACTAACTCGCACCAATGCTACTTGTCGCATCACTGCAAAGAAAACCATGTCGATGCGATCACAGATAGCAACAACGCATTTCTGAAGGCACGTAACGTGTATGGGTAGCATGAACAGATTGAAATATGAAGCACCATTTGCTACAACCACTGCAAAGGAAACCGCGGTTCCTAATGTCGCGTTCATTGATAGTGAATACGCTTCGAAGGTAGGCAGCTAGCATAGCCAAAGAGCCGTGAAACAGTACGGAGCATTGCGGTGAAGTAGTAAATTTGGCTAGTTGGAATATACTTATCACGGTGTTTGTAGATCGCGTCAATTTTATGGGTTTTGATACAGCCCGTAGTATGTTTAAGCAAGGGGGCAAAGGTCTTAGCTTCGCTTCTGAAGTTCCAAGAGACAATCTCTTGCAATTCTTAGATCTTTTAATACAGTTCCAGAGGGATCATGTTTGCTTTTCCTATTCCCCCTGTTCTTCAAAACCACTTTTAAAATTGTAAGGAACAGATTGGCAATATCTTGTTTGGCAACAGATTGGCAATATCTGGCAGTTTGACAGATTGGAAGCAGCTAGTTTCCCGTGCCTAGTCCTTGCCTCCCCTTCACAGCGATTGTTTCATTGCTGGCAAAGGGAACAAAAAGAGGACTTTGATACTGCGGTTTTACCCTTGGATAGGCAAAAAAGTTCGTTATCCCATATCTGCACTTGGCATCGCACTGTTTGAAGAAGGCTGGTTGCCTGTCATTATGGCATAAATGTTGTCGTCGTAACAGCAAAAATCTAGTAAGCGTGTGTGCAAGAGTTGATAAAAGAGTGCAGAAGGGGCGGGTTGCTTGAGTGCTAAAGGGGCAGGTTGCTGTCATTACTAAAGGTTGCTCTATAAAGCACTGCTTCACTGACTGTGCAAGCGGAGTAGTGTATTCCATCCCTTCGTCATGCGGTGGTACGTACATTGGGCAGACGGGACGTTGTCTCAATGTCCGTTTAAGGGAGTTTGCTAGCTCTCTAAAAGGTGCACCCTCTATGCATTTTTTTCCTTTGCTGCCGGCAAAACTGCTTTGGGGATGAGGCACTGGGACCAGCGCATCTGTGAAATTGCTGAAGTATTTTAAGTCATAAAAGCAAGAGACAGGTGCGTGAGCCAGCCATCAATCAGCTCTCACAGATGCTGAGATATCATATCTACAGCATATGTGATTACATGCGGGGGGGGGGGGGGGGGGGAGAGGAGGAGGAGGAGGAGGATGAGATTTTTAGTGCCTTCCTTTATGCTTATATGTATAGGCCGCTTATAACGTAAGTCGCGGGAGTCGCGAATATCCGCACTCTAAGCGGTACCGCACTATAACCAAACCAACCTCTTTCAAGCGCCGCACTTGCGCAAAACGTGTTGAGCATGCAGCTTCGCGTGTCCGAGAATCAAAACATGCGATGCGTGCTTGCTAACATTTAAATTTCTGAATGTTAAAAGAATGTAACATCCAAAGACACGCGTTGCCTATGAAACGAACATAGGGGGGGGGGGGGGGTCTAACAAGTGAAAGCACCATTACGGGTATTCGCCGACTACCAGACAGCCTTGATTATGCGCATTACGCAGAAACTATGTCGAATCACGTCCAGAATTCGACGTGTTGAAAGACGCCAACCATTCGATTTCACAAGCGCACAACATCGCAATTGAGTCGCGAACCACTGTTTGAGCGCTACAAGAGCCGCCATAGGCGTATCAGCCAGGGGGGCAAGGGGGGCGCGAGACCCCCCGTTTTTTTTTTTACAGTGGTCATTGTCAGCTGCACGCTGTAGAAACCAACTAAGGCGAAGTTCTCCTTCACCATAGTAATCACTCAATTATGTTGTTACGAGGAAATGAAAATGTTACCAGGGAATGTTTTAATATAGTAAAATTTTTCCTAAATTTCTGCTTTGACAATTGTGCTTGAATGTTCCTTGCAGTGCGGGCCGCCTATACAACTCTTTAGCACCTTGTAATGTAGCATTGGAAAGCGGGCAACAGTAGTTTTGTGCTTGATTTGTTATGGATGGGAACGGAGCAATTGTTTTATGGGCCAGTCAGAGCACTTGCTGCTTCAAGAAAATTGTTTTCTTTTATCAAAGTTGAATAGCGTCATGGCTACTTTATCGAAGCTGCTTTGAGCCGATGATTGTGACGAACCTTTTTAAATTCTTTAGTCCAGCCATACTAGAAACGCCACAAAAAGGTTTGCGCTTTAGTCTGAGAAATCTGATCAGCCTTGCTTACGGTAACTATAGGAGCGATGGCTGCAGTTTGCAAAGTGGGGAAGAATAAAGCAGTGGACTCGAATACAGTGGGAAGCTCAGCTTCTAAGCTTACCCCACAGCTTGACCCGCCGGACCAGGGAGAAGGTGAAAGGTCATAGTTTTTTTCACGATCAAGGCCTAATTAGGAGTTGGGCTAGTTAGTTCTCATTCAACTTTAATTGCCTTTAACAGCTCAAAATACAACTCTGACAGAAAAGGAGCACACACGTGCAGCCCTGCTTAGTTTCTCTCTCCGGAGTAACTGCGCAGTTACCACGAAAAGGGCTCTTTGCTCCTCCAAAAGACGAAATGTGCGCAAAAGCTTGCACACGGTACCTCAAGGAAGGGTAGTTTCCTCTTTGTGGAGTAAAGCACCCGTTCTTTGGGGCAACTGCAGGAATGTTCACACCGTGTGCAAACTCATCGGTGCCTACACAAGCCTGTTTCATTTCAGACGATTCTGTAGCGTGGAGTGGGGTAGTGGTTACCGTACGCGCATGCTGACTGAATGGTGGTGAGTTGATTCATAAGTGGGGTTTAACATTTCAAAACCACCTTATGATTGGGAGAGACGCCGCAGTGAAATGCTCCAGAAATGTAAACCACCTGGGGTTTTAACGTGCACCCAAATCTGAGCACATGTGCCTAACTAAAGCATTTTCCCCTCTATCGAAAATGCAGCCATCGAAAAGCTCTATTGAAAAGCTTGTGTGTGTGTGGTGTGTGTGTGTGTGTGTGTGTGTGTTTGTGTGTGTATATATATATATATATATATATATATATATATATATATATATATATATATCCCGCCTGACGAGTGAGGTAAGTTGTTTGCCCCCCACTTGCAAAAGCGTTGGTACGCCCCTGCGTGCCACCCTCTTTTTCATTAACGATATGTATCCCTTCCCGTCAAGTGCGGCCACCGCAAGAAGTTTCGTTGATTGGGTACGAAACTGCAACTTAGATTCACACGACCGCTACAGATCGAAGCGCAACCAATGCCGATTAGGCCTTGCTTATCGTTTGGTATGTTGTCGTGGAAAGTTTGTCCAAAACGTGAAGATTCGGCATCAAAAAGATCGCGCTAGCAGTGAACCAAGAACAGCGTGCGTGATACAAAGTTCGCGTTCACGGCCGGCAGATCAGCAGCGACGACAACTCGCCAAGCTAGCT